TTAAATAGAGGCAGTCGCCAAGTGGCAAACCCCCTGCACTAAGACGCAAGTCATCGCATTCCTAAGTACCGCAGGGTACTATCGCAAATTCGTGTCCAACTACAGCACCCTAGCCAAACCCCTCACCGACCTAACCCGTAAAAATCTCCCTAAGATAGTGGTATGGGCTCCAGAGTGTGAACATTCATTCCAACAGCTCAAGACTGCGCTTATTAAATCACCTGTACTTTCTGCTCCAGATCCAACTAAAGGCTTTCTCATCCATACAGATACTTCTATGTTTGGATTGGGAGTAGTACTGATTCAAGTTGGAGCAGATGGCGGCGAGCACTCAGCAGAAAACTTTTACCCAGAGAAGTAAGCTACGCCACCATTGAAAAGGAATGCCTGGATGTGGTGTGGGCCCTCAAAAAGCTGCAACCATATTTGTATGGACAACCCTTTACATTACTCACAGATCACAACCCTTTGGTGTGACTGAACAGGGTGTCAGGTGACAATGCCAGGCTGCTGCGCTGGAGTTTGGCGCTGCAGCCTTTTGACTTCACCATCCACTACCGCCCTGGGAAGCAAAATGGCAATGCCTACGGCTTATCCAGACAAACAGACCTTGAAAAGTGATCTGTGATTACTCCTCCGGACATCCCCAAGCCGATCCGTTGGGATCAGACTGTGTATGTCGGCTTGGTTCTGGGGGAGCATTGTGGCAAACCTAACCACTTCAAACTATATTTCCCAATTAAGACTGTATTTAAGTTTGTGTGATATTGTGGCTTTAAGACTACCTGAACTGTCCATGTCCCCTATTCTATATATTATGTGAATGAGAGCATTCGTATGCTGGCGGCACGAAAGCCACCAGCATTCATGCAGTAGTTTCACGAACAGTGAATTTCAACACTATTCGTGAAACAAACAAACTATCGAATGGGAGACCACACACAGGAGGTCGTGTGGCTCCCATCAAGGATCGCAACAATGTATCTTTCAGCAGTTAATAGATGTTCAGGGTGGCCGCCGTTCGGATACCGACCATGCGGTATCTTGGATCCTTTGTTAGCCCAGCGGTATTTGGTCCGTCGAGTGCCTGGAACTAAAATCGGCTACTCAACGGCACGAATACTGCGTCACGAATGAAGAATGTGTGTTCAAGTGTATTTCGTGCGGCGTTCGGCTAATTTTGCTGGGATCTGAGTGGTACTTTCACGATCAGCGGTACTTTCGCTCAGACCCCAGCACACTGCCCAACGGTCATTCGGTATAATAGCACAAATAATGTTAAAGTTATCTATTTTTATGTAAAAAGACAGTTCTGCTGCACGGAAGGATAATCCACTTAACTGGATATTCTAATGGGAGTGTCCCTCTCGTACAGCAGTGCATGGTGGGAGAAATGTTCTGGTTGTTAAGTTCCCCATGTAGTCCCCTACTGTACAACCCATGTAAAGTCAGTAAGGAAACCCCTTGCATGGGGAACCACATAAATACTGGAGCTTGTGAATAAAACCTCAGTTGACTCCCAGCCTATTTGTCGTCTTGGGAAGGAAGGATCTATATAACGCTACCCGGATTATTGAATGCTGTACCTGTTTTACCTGGATTATTATATGCTGCTCCTGTCTACCAGCGGAGATATTGTGGATTATAGTACCTCTCCGCTACACATGGGCAGACATAGTGACACACACACACAAACACGTACACTGACAGACATACTGGCACACACAGACACATACAATGGCAGACATACTGGCACAGACAGACACATACACTGGCAGACATAGTGACACACGCACACTGACAGACATACTGATACACGCATAAACATACACTGACAGACATGCTGACATACACAGAGACACATACAATGAATGCTGCTGGGAGTTAGGGTTTGACTCTCAGCTTCAAGCAATTAATGTTCTCCTGCAAAGAGTATAGCTGTATAGCTGGTCCACCCAAACACTAGTCGAGACTGAGTGAAGGGTGAAAAGGAACTGGTTTATTTAGGCCAAGTTCCCTGCTTATATACACATCCTCCAGCATGGGGTCTGCATTCAGCCTATAGACTGTAAGCTCGTTTGAGCAGGGTCCTCTTCAACCTATCGTTCCTGTAAGTTTTCTTGTAATTGTCCTATTTATAGTTAAATCCCCCCTCTCATAAAACGCTACGGAATCTGTTGGCGCTATATAAATGGCAATAATAATAATAATACAAGACAAGTCCCTCCCAGAGGTCTCTGTGCCTGGGAGATAATTGAGTTAAAGACCGGTAAGCTAATTATCTCCCAGGAACAGAGAGGCAAACACAAAACATAAAAACATAAGAGTACCCCAAAACATAATAAAAATATACAGTAACCCAAAGAGCATCCCCAAATTGACCTGATCTGAGCACCCAAGTTGTCACAATAGCACTCAGATCCATACATACTTGAAAACATTGAATAATACACTGTAAGGAGACTGTGACTGACTGCCTCGTACCCCGGCTGGGTAACTTTGTCAGGCTCGCTTCCTAGCTCACCACCGGAACACCTCACTTTGGCTGGGGTCTTTCCGTTGCTTCCCGCCCTGGAACAGGGTCCTCGGGAAAGCTTCAAGTGATTAAGCTCTACCGGAAAGTATAGCTGGTCCACCCAAGCACTAGTCCAGACTCAGTGATGGGTGAAAAGGAACTGGTTTATTTAGGCCAAGTTGCCTGCTTATATGCACAACCCCCAGCATTGGGTCTCCAAACAATACAATACAAGCCCCTTGTGACAAACTCACTATTTTCCCTTTGTTAAGACATTTCCCTGCTAAGATTTCGTATACTATGTTCCCCCAACCGCATTCACATTTCCCCAGTTAGGAAGCTGCAATCTACCGAACACCGACTACCCCCCTGGCTCATTAACTACAAACTAACCACAAACTTAAGGGCTCTCCCTGGGTGGCCGATTTTCATATAACCGAACAACACATGCTGGAGAAAATGGTGGCACTCTTGTTGCACGAACGCCTGGGAGATAATTAGTTTAAGAAAAGTACACTAAATTATCTCCCAGACACAGAGACTCCGGGATGTGTTGTGGGAGTGTTCTGGGTGTGTTTTACCATGTCTTTGTTTGAGACCTCATGCTGGGGGTCTGTGTATATAAGCTGGCCACTGGGCCATAATAAACCAGTCTTCTTGTACCCTTCATCAAGTCTTGGATTATGTTTGGGTATACCAGAGCTTTAATCACTGCTTCACTTGGGACTTGGGAGAATTACAACAGATATACTCAGTCGGTGTATAGGGGATCTGTTACACCCCTCTCAGAGATCTCTGTGCCTGGGAGATATTTGAGTTAAAGACCAGTAGGCTAATTATCTCTCAGGAACAGGGAGCCAAAGTAAAAACATAAAATTAGTTACATTTGTGAGAAAGGAAATGCTGAACCAGGGGCACAGAGGGAAAGCTGCTAATGGCGGCTGGGCGGGGTAACTCCTGAACAGGGTCTCCAACCTGGACCATAGTCGGTGGGCAGGAGGCCAGCTTCCACACTCTGCTAGGAGTTCGTGGTAAACGTCCGTGAAAAAGAGCGTTTGTCACAGAGACACACTGTTTGGTATGATACACTGCTAAGACTAACATACCACATGGAGACACACACAGCATGAAGATACACACTCTATGGAGACACTGCATTGAATAATACACTGCATAGAATAATATACATCATGGAGACACATACTGCATTAAATTATACACTGCATGAAGACACACACTGCATTGGATACTACCTGGAAACACACTGCATGGAATAATACACTGCATAGAGTGACACACCACATATAGACACACACTGCATGGAGATACATAACGCATGGAATAATACATGACGAAGAGGTACATCAAATAAAAGAAACCAGTTGTTCAGTTATTTGTAGAACCCAGAAATTTCCACTTGACGGGTGTGCTTATATAGCCTAATAATATGATGGATGTATCATTCAGTGAGCCTGGAATCACTCCACTTTTTACCTTATTTTAGGTTGCAGTCAGGCAAAGTAAAGCCAGGGCAACAGTGGCACCTCTCTCTCTGGTGTCTCCAACTTCCTATACGTCCATTACATATTGTGAAGACAAACCGAAACATGGGAACACCGTCCACCAGGACAAGGAGGACTTCCTATCTGATGTCTAAGCAGTGCCTTCTGTACAACACGTTTATAGATGGGTTTTTGTCCAGGCTGTAGCATAGCCAAGGTCCTGATCAACTACACTAAGCATGATGTCAGAGTCTTGACCTCCCCTAACCCCAGCCATGTCCATCTAATGTTCCCCAAGAAAATCTCCACTGACTCATATCCTGCCATATCTCCTAATCTAGTATCTCACAATGTACATCAAACAGTATATATAGTTGTTGTGACAATCCTCACTACTCCTGACATATAGAATACTATCTTTTAATATTGCCATATAACTGAACTGCTAATACCGTCTCTGCACAGTTAAATTCCTGACATAGTGTGTGTTTATGGTAGTATTACATAGTGTGTGTTTATGATAGTATTACATAGTGTGTGTTTATGGTAGTATTACTGTAAGTTTATTGCCTTGTGTTAGTTTTACTGTTTTAAAGTTTTATTTTAATTAAAGTTTGATTTGCATTGATAGTCTGGTGACATAAGAAAAATGATAAAGGTACACCATATCTTAAATGAAAAAGAAACAAAGGATTGGACATTAAGTATCTTTACAGTGACATTGGTGGAAGGTGGACATCAGAATAAAGGTAGGGGTTAAATACGGGAATATACCAAATAAAAGAAGTGATGGGTCAAAATGTATACAAATTAGTGTGAGTTATGGCCATAGTGTGATCAGCACTGTTCAGGGAAGGATGTATCGTGTGTTGTTGAGTTAAGCAAGAGCCAGTAATCTTATTGAAAAGTGTCCTTTTTAATATTTGTATTTTTTTCTGTATAATGTTTTAAAGTGTAGTCCTAAAACCATGACTATATTGCTTCCTATTAGGCATGTGCATGGCAAAATTTTTCGATTCGGTTCGGCATTCTGAAATTCGGGACTTCGGCAATTCGGCACTTCGTAACTTCGGTAACTTCGACACTTCGGAATTTCATCAACTTTGGCACTTCTGCACTTCGGAACTGCGGAACATCTGAATTTCGGAACTTCTCTTGCAGCCGCTTGGTAGATATATCCCTAATTCCCACGGTATTAGGGAGTTATCTACCAAAAGGCTGAAAGACCTAAATTGGTCTTTCGGACAAATTTACTAATACTAAGTAAAGATTACTTAGTATTAGTAAATTATGCCCCTACTCGCTATACCTGTCAGTCTCTTCATTTACCTCTCAGAGCACTCTGATTGGATGGCTTAAATCTACCAATCAGTGTGTTCTGAGCCTAATTGCAGGGCGGGGCAAGGCTTTATAAGCCTTCCCCCATCCTGCAGAGCTCAGTCTGCACGGAGCCCTCGCCGGGTGAAGATGGATTTTTTTTTTTTTTGTGCTCGTTTTTTTTATTATTATTAAATTGCGTTGGTTATTATGGATTTTTATTTGGCCTTTTATGGGGGTAGGTAGGTGTAAATTTTTGGGGGGAGCAGGGTGACTAGGGGTTTGGGGACCCCTAATCACCTGGGGGGGGGTTATTTTTTTATTTAGGGCTGGGGGCCAGGGGGGAGGACATTAGGTGAGTGGACCAATGAAGGCTTAGACCTAACAGTATGTCGAATAATCCAAGCTGCTACCCATCTCGGCATTTCTCTAATACAGCCTTCTTTAGGATGACCCTATTTAAAGGGTTCTTCAAACATTATGACCACTTCAGTGATTTAAAGTGGTTATGGTGACTGGAGTTTGTATTTGCATGAAAACACTGTAAATACTGAGTTTAACCCCTTTGCTGCCATATGGGCGTCATTAGCCAGTCCTAGCTGTCTAGTGTGATGGTATGAATATGTATCACCGTCAAGCATTCCCTTATTCCCATAAAACAATATCGCCAATAATCCACAGGGTAAAATATCGCTGGTATCGCATAATAATCCACACATGAGCCAAAGCTTAATGCTGGGACAAGATTGATTTAATGGAAGCAAGAGCCTTCAATTTATACAGTAACAGACTCCTCCTCTGGGCCAGGCTAGATAATTGAGTTTTAGCAACATACTAAACTCAATTATCTGCTGGCCAGAAGCAGTGCAGTGTTTGTGAGAAATAGTGTCCGCTTTTAGTTCCATGTATTCATCATGGCCGCCATCTCGTGGTCGGCAAACGAACAAAGACCACCCAGTCGGGATTCCACAATTAGGAAGTGTCTGCGGTTAACCACAACGTTCTGATGAGGCCAAGAGGTTAACAAGCAGCACACTTTCATGCTGGGTGGCCGGCCGTTCGGCAGTTGTTTGGTAAAAGAGCAAATAAACATAGGGGCTGTATGGATAGGGGAAATAGCCGAACAGACGAATGGAGGGAAAATAAAAGTAATTCACAGACAGATAGGTCTGTCACAGTAACCTTGTGGGGAAATCTGTATAAAAAAATAAATAAACCCTCAGATATGCTGAGTTCCTGTTTTACCCTCAACATAGAGCCTCGTCTCATGTTTGGGGGGAAAGGCTGCATCTACCCTGGGGATTGCTATATCACTATACTCCCCAGGGATTATAATCACTTAGCTCTTTTAAGAGCTTGTTCCTGCTTCACTCTCTGGGGAAAGAAAGGTTCACCCACTGGAACCTGGAGCCTTGTCGTAGGTCCAGGGTGGGTAGGAGATGGCGAGACCCCAACCAAGCAGCGGCGGTTTGTGGGGTCTGCAGTGCTTATCGTGTCTGGTGCGGTGCTGATGGTCCTTGGTAAGCACTAGGAGCATCGATTGACGGAGGGTCCGTCACACTTGCTCTTATAAGAGCAGCCTGCTACACTATCTTGGAGGAGAGGTCTACTCAATGGAAGCTGGATCCTGATCTTGGGTCCAGGGTGTGTGGGGGACAGCGAGACCCCAACCAAGCTGTAATGCTGGAAGTGGGGACTACAGTGATGATGGTGTCTGGAGTGCTTGGAGTACTCGGTGAGCACTAGGAGCATTGATTGGCGGAGGCACCTGGTCGGGGTGTCAGGCGGTCCGCCACAATATGGAAGCCAGTTTTATCTTTCCTTTTTTCCAAAGGTTTATCTTCCTTTTTCTTTTGATTTTTATTCTCATCTTTGTGTTCTCCAGCTTTTTTGGTAACTATTGATTTTATGTTAATATTTGATGAAAATAGTTTTATATCTCTAGTAAAGCAGTCTTAAATGATTATCCGTCTATCTGCAGTTTAGTAGATCAAGCCTTCAGGGAGATTAAATTAATAGCCCAAGGATTTATGACTTCACTTTGGCCAGAAGAAATTTAGTATGCATTACTTCCTTTCTCTCTTTTTCTTTCTCCTTTTCTTTCCACTTCCTTTCCTTCTTTTACCAACTTATCGGTTAATATTTATATCGGTTGAGTCAACTACAAATATCAGTATTAGCCAGTTGCAGAATATTTACTAGTGAAAAGAGAGTGAACCACCTCACTTGAACTCTCCTGAGCTACTCAAATTGATGTGGTTAGCTCATCAACTTAAAAAGAAAAACACAGCGGATAAAACATAAGTAGCACAGTCATTAAATTAAATTGCATCCAGCGACCTGTGACGAAGTGCCCTTCGCCACTTGTGCCTGGAGAGGACTGCTTGCCCGCCTCTTGCCCTATGACTATGGACCCTGGGAGATTTGGCCCGTTCAATTCAGTATGTTAGGAGTTATGTATTTTTGTATCCTTTTGTGTTTTACTGAGGACATGTGCTCAATGGAGTCTGCTTCTATCCCTGGATAATTGGATTACTTTCCCCATTGTCTCCAGGCTAGAGGGCTCTGTAAAACCAGTTTGGGCCAGATAGCCATGCTGCCAGCCAGGTCCCAAAAGATACTTTGCTAACTTCTGAACCCTTGGTCTGATTCATGCCATTTTTTGATATGTTGTTTCCCTGAATGGATTGATTGTGAATATATAATTTATGTGAATGTGATGTATATTTTAGAAGTTATGAATGCTGTAAAAACTGTATTATTTCTGGCCAGCAGATAATTGAGCTTTGTGTATTGTAGAAACTCAATTATCTAGCCTGGCCCAGAGGAGGAGTTTTGTGTTGCATAAATTGTGAGTTCTGTGTGCCAGTAAATCAGTCTTGTTCCAGCATTAAGCCTTGGCTCATGTTTGGGGGATTGGAGAAATACACTCTGGGGATTGCTATAATCACTATACTCCCCAGGGTATGATCAGTAAGTTCTGCTAAGAGCTTGTTCCTGTTCCTGCTCTCTGGGGAAAGAAAGGTTCACCCACTGGAAGCTGGATCCTGGCCTTGGGTCCAGGGTGGGTGGAGACAGCAGAGACCCCGGTGCAGTTGCATCGCTGGAAGTGGGGTCTGCAGTGCTGATGGTGTCGGTTGGAGTGCTTGGAGTCCTCAGCGAGCTCTAGGAGCATCGATTGGTGGAGGTACTCAGTCGGAGTGCCAGCGGTCCGTCACACGACCAATATTGGAATTTGGCAATAGTCATTTTGACTGTATGCAGTTAGTCTTAATATTATAGAAACATAGAAACATAGAAACATAGAATGTGACGGCAGATAAGAACCATTCAGCCCATCTAGTCTGCCCAATTTTCTAAATACTTTCATTAGTCCCTAGCCTTATCTTATAGTTAGGATAGCCTTATGCCTATCCCACGCATGCTTAAACTCCTTTACTGTGTTAACCTCTACCACTTCAGCTGGAAGGCTATTCCATGCATCCACTACCCTCTCAGTAAAGTAATACTTCCTGATATTATTTTTAAACCTTTGTCCCTCTAATTTAAGACTATGTCCTCTTGTTGTGGTAGTTTTTCTTCTTTTAAATATAGTCTCCTCCTTTACTGTGTTGATTCCCTTTATGTATTTAAATGTTTCTATCATATCCCCCCTGTCTCGTCTTTCCTCCAAGCTATACATGTTAAGATCCTTTAACCTTTCCTGGTAAGTTTTATCCTGCAATCCATGAACCAGTTTAGTAGCCCTTCTCTGAACCCTCTCTAAGGTATCAATATCCTTCTGAAGATACGGTCTCCAGTACTGTGTACAATACTCCAAGTGAGGTCTCACCAGTGTTCTGTATAATGGCATGAGCACTTCCCTCTTTCTACTGCTAATACCTCTCCCTATACAACCAAGCATTCTGCTAGCATTTCCTGCTGCTCTATTACATTGTCTGCCTACCATTATGATATTAGGAATAATACTTTCATTATACTATGTTAAATATACTACATTGAAAACTTAGCCAGGTCAAGGTAACCAGAAACACACTAAATCAGATATCTAGCCAGGTTGAGGTAAACAGAAATACACTACATATACACCAATATTGTGTATTTCTGGTTACCTTGACCTGGATAGGTATTTGATGTAGTATAGTTCTGGTAACCTTGACCTGGGTAGCAGTGGCATCTCAAGGATTTGGCACCCCCAGGCACCCCCAGGCATCCAGATACACAGGCAGCTACTCCATACACCAATCTCCCGAACAGGAAACCATACGAATGCTTCTAACAGCCGAATAGGAAAAACCATACTAAGGGTTTATACTCCTAGCAGTCGAACTGGAACAGCATACAATAAATCCCCCCAAGAACGAGACAAGGCTCCATGTTGAGGGTCAAACAGTGATCTGGTTTAATGGGGCTACCTGCCCGGTATTTATGCAGGTCTTCCATCCAGGTGGACACTCCCCTAGGGGACCTGGTGGAAGACTGGGACACAAATTGCACAGTGACCAATCACAGACATACATAGTGAAACACTCCCACTAGTACAGTGTAATCCCTCCTCTCTACCCTGGAG